CCGACGCTCAAAGTGTACTGTACTTCTAGAAGCAAATTGTGTGAGCATATTTTAAAGAGCGAGAGAGAGAGCGCGCGAGAGAGATTTTATGCTAATGTTAAATAGAAAGCACTTAAAACCCACTGCCTTCTATGGAACACAAGGATATTTCAGACAATCGAGAAGAAAGGAGAGCCAGGTTTTTGTCTTTTTTTTTTTTGTTTTGTTTATGTTTTGTTTAAAACAATTTTTTTGGCATTCTGTTTGTTGGAGAACTCCGTGTGATCTTTTTTCATAAAAAAAAAAAAAATTAATTGAAAAAAAGCAACCCAACGAAGCATCTTTCTTTGTCTCGCTTGTCCTGACTGCGGGGTTTTTCTCCCCTTGGTGGCAATGGTCTCTTTTTGGCTCAGCCCCTGCCTCATGTTCGGGGAAAGACCCAACCCAGGCGCTGCGTGGCTCTTCGGGGAGCCCCCGTCCGTCTGACAGTCCCCCTGCGGGGTGGCACCGATGGACGGGATGGGACCCCGGAGCGGAGGTCTCTGCTCACTGGGGCCCGTGGGGCAGGAGGCGTGAGTTCTTCCCCTGCAGCTGCGGTCACGGCGACTCCAGTACCCCGAGCCCTGCAGGGACGATGTGTTGAGGATGAAACGCTGGATTTGCTCTTTTTTGGTGTGAGCTGCACTTCAACCAGCCAGGGGCTTGGTGGGGCGAGACCCTCCAGTGCTGGTGGGGCTGGGTCGGGGGTGCCAAGCCTGGCGCTTGCTGGCTCCTGCTCCCACTGCCTCCAGCCCTTGGGCTTCGCTTCCTTGGGAGGTGGCACCCGCTGACTCCTGGCGCAACAAGGTGCAGCTGGTCCCAAAAAGCGGCAGCCTCTGTCTGGTGTTGGCACCTTCTCCAGATGGTTTCTGCTCTGCTCAGCCCCTTCCCTCTCCCACTTGCTGCCCACAAAGGTGTTGCACTTCAGCAGCAGTTTGCAGGCTGGCAGATGTTCGACGGGACCTGGTGACAAATCCAGCTGCCCCAGGTGACAGAGGGGACCCTGGAGGTGGGGAGCAGCACAAGGGGCACCCCGAAACCCCACAGGACAGGCAGCAGGCATCACCCTGGGTGTGTTTGCCAGCCCAGCCCATCACCAGCAGACAAGTGCCTGCAGTGCCAGGGCCGTGCCGGTGGCATGGCTACCAACCAGGCATCATTGCAAAGGCACTTAATCTGGCATCAGCTTCGTTTATGTCCCTTGCAATAAATCCTGAAGCTCAGCAGTGGCCCACGGGCGGCATCCACAGCGCTGTGGCCTCAAGACCCCTCAGGACATCGGGATTCCCCCCTCTGTCCCGTTGCAGCCCGGGAGAGGGAGGTGATGGGGCAGACCCACAGCGTGGGGTGGGGGGAGGCAAGACCCTGCCTCTCTCACAGTTAGGGGAGGCAAAAAAAAGACACAACCAAAAAAAAAAAGGTTTGGTTTTTTTTCTAAAAGACACAACCAAAAAAAAAAAGGTTTGTTTTTTTTTCCAGACAGCAGAAGTGAATTGGGTCTTTTACACAGCAATTGGCATATTTGGGGAGGGATCGTGATTTCAAGCCATTCTTGGTGAAAACCTGCAGCACCGTTGATGAAAGCCGAGATCCACCTTCCCAGAGCCACTGGGGCCTGAAGGAGCGTTTCCTTCCTCTCTTGCTCCTCTTCTTCCTCACTAGCCCTCCATCACCCTCCTCCCCAGTGCTGGTCCTATTCCCTTTGGAATTTGGCAGTATTTTCTTCCTCCTGGCAATTGCTTGGCTCAAACAGGAGAAGACACCCCACCCCCCCCACTGGAGAGCTGCACATTGCTGATGGGGAGCCCCCCAAGAGCAACGGGACTGTCCCCCGGATTGGGGGGGGGAATGTCACCCCAAGAAGTGGCCCTGGCTGGGCAGCACAGGCTGTTTTGGGATGCCACGGCCCCATGCCAAAGGGACGCCGGTCCCTGTCCAACCTGGGGCAGCTTTCTGGCTCCAGGCTCCCTCCCTGAGGAGGGACATGGGCCAAGCGGGGCGGTGGGGACCATGGTGGGAAGCAGGTCCCATCTTGTCCCCATCGCCCCGCCCCGGGGCTCAGTACCCTGATGTAAAGGAGCCATTGGAGGTTTCGGTGTAGAAACAGGTACTGTGGGAGGTACTGGTGAGACTGTAGGCAAAATAGGCCACGGCCGAACCCAGTGTTAAACCCGTCATGTAGGACACGGTCATGGTGTTCCCTGCGGGAAGGGACACGAGGTGTCAGGGCGCTCTGGCCACCCCACGTGGAGTCCCTGGGAGGGCTTGGTCCTACCTGCCAGCTCCCGCTGCTCAGGGCTCACTTTCCCGGCGGCCAGGATCATGGGGACGCTGCCGAAGTAGCCGTTGGTGATGCCCATGAGGAGAGAGAAGATGCAGGGCCAGGCAGGGTGGCCGAAGGTGGGCCTCCCATTGGGGTAGACGCACATGATGAAGAGGGGGATGAAGACCACGCGGAGGCAGGAGTAGACAAGGAGGTGGGTCCCTCTCCAGTCATAGGGCAGGGCAGCCAGGATCTGCAGCGAGGGGCAGAGACCATGCTGTGGGGGCCGAGGAGGCTGGGGAGGGCAACATGGTGCCCAAAATGGGGCAGCAAGGAGAAGATGAGATGGTGCTGCAGGAGCCCAACCTCAGCCATGCTGGTGAGCAACTTCACACTAGTTAGATACCCATGGGGTGGAGATGACCCTTGGTGGAGCCAAGCGGCTTTGAAAGAGGACACAAAAAGGAGGCACGGTGGAAGGGACGCATCCGCCCCACCGCGTTGGAGTTGGCCTCTCTCCTACCTTGCCGACGAAGTCGGAGAGGTTGAAGATGGCCATGATGAGGATGGGGAGCCATTCCCCCAGCGTGCAGTTGTGGATCTCTGACTCCAGCCCGGGAAAGAGGCACAGCGTGATGAAGTAGGTCATGGCGATGGAGAGCATGTAGGCCCAGATGAGCCGGGACACGACGTAGCGGTGGAGCAGCATGTCTGGCAGGTACGGGCAGCACGGCTCAGCCAAAACCCCCAGCCCTACCCTTGCAGAGCCTGAAAGTCTTGCCCGCACCCCAACAGTGGCTTCCAAAGACGTGATTGCCCCATGTTTGTGGGTGTGTTGAAAAGGGATGACCCTTCCCCAAAGCCCTAGGCCACCGATCGCTCCTTCTGCCCCACAAAATGCTGCAAAATTGGCTCGCCCCCCTCCCCTGAGCCCACCACCCACCTCTGAAGCTGGGCCAGCTCCTCTTGATTTTGGGCCGGGGGACGTCAAAGCGCATGTAGGTGCCGCTGCCGGCCAGCTCAGCTTCGGGGCCTGGGCTGCCCTGGGGGGAGCTCGGCTGCCCCCGCGGCCGGTTCTCCTGTGTGGGGGGAGAGAGGGGACACCAGTGCTGAGCTCCAGTGGGGAGTGGGACCCCAGGGGGCATCAAGGAAACCCACCCTTGGCTTACAAATTGGACATCCTCGGCAGTGACATCGTGGTGGACGCGGTAGCCCGTCCCATGGTCACCAGCCCCCTGGGGCTCGGGGAGACCCTTGCGGGAGCAGGCAGTGTAGTAGCGGACAAAGTGGGTGCGCTTCACCAGGAGGTGGAGGATGAAGCATGTCAGCTCCATGCCAATGGAGATGAAGAAGAAGATGACGGTGTTCTCCTTCTCGTCTGAGAGCAGCAGCTTGGTGAAGATGCGGCTGAGTGAGATGATGACCCCGGCGGTGCCTGGTGGCATGGAAAAGCTATTGGCACGGGGTCCTGCTGAGCCCCACAGCTGGGGGACCCCCAGCAGCCCCCTACCGTATGGAGGTGATGCCTCCAGGTGTGGAGTAGCTACAAACAGTGATTTTTTTTTTGGGGGGGAGTGGAGCCAGCTCCTGGCAGACACCCCCACCCCAAGCTTGGCATGGCAAAGCCACTCACCCACAGAGATCCGGTCTTGCAAGTGATTTACAAACCATTAAACACCCTGGTTTGCTGGGGAGCACCCTGGGGTGTCCCTGATCTGCTGGCAACCTGGCCAGGCTGTGCTGGGGACAGCAAGGCCCCAGGTGTGACTCGCCGGGGCCCTGAGAGACAGTAGAGGAGGGTCCCCCCCGAGTGAGCCCACACAGTTGAACGTGGACAGAGATGCAGGTACTTACTCTCGCCTGTCATCACCCCCTGCGTGTAGCGCTTGGGCAGCAGCCCCGTGTAGCCGTAGAAGCTGGATTGCTGCACTTCAGGAGAGATGCGCCGAGGGGAGAAGGAGGGATTATTGCTGCAACCGAAATGCCGGGTAGGGGGAAGAAACCCCGGTGGGGGCCCACGTGCCATGCCACCCGGGAGCTGCACCCTTCCTGAACAGCTGATGCAGCGCCCGAAGCCTTCTTGCCCCAAAAATCGGTGCACATTTTGCCCTCCCTGGGTGCCCCACCATGGCTGTTCCCATCAAGAGTGGCCACCAGGTGCAGGGGCTTAGGAAGTCACCATGGAGGCCCAAATGGCAAAGCCCATGGTGTCGGGGACTGATGCGTGGTTTGGTGCTGGTGCCCCTGTCCAGTCCCGTGGTGCCTGGACAGAGTTGGAGGGGAGGGAGCTGGGACACGAGGGTCAGCTTATAGGGATCAGAGCAAGAGGTTGTCCCAGGAGACCACGGCTCTGGGGGATGGGGATGTTTTCCCACCCCTAGCTGAAGGGCTGCGCTTGCCCCAGTGCCAGCCGCTGTCCCGCATACCTGTGCAGCCAAAGGCCACCACCCCGACGGCGACCAGGTTGATGGCGTAGGCTTGCCTGCGGGTGAAGAGCTCCAGCCAGACATCACAGATGCTGACGAAGAGCAGGGGCCCCAGGGAGAAGAGGTAGCCTGTGGGTGAGAGATGGAGGCGGGTGGTGGGGGGTCAACGTGGGGTCGGTGCTGCCGGGGGCTGTGGGGACCCCCACTCACCCACAGAGATCCGGGTGTGCAAGCTCAGCAGCTCCACCAGCGCGTTGTTGAGGATGACGGCCACCAAGGCCACCAGGATGTAGGTGAGGCTCATGTCGAAGACGATGGAGGTCCCTGTGGAGAGGCAGGTGATGGGGGGGTGGCGGGGGTCTGGCTGCCCTAGAAGCGGGGCAGGTTTGGGGTGGCTGGGAAGTGCTGCAGCTGCTGGAGACCTACCTGGGTATTTATGGTGCAGGTAGTCCACATCGGTGATAAAGCTGTTGTACGGCAGAAGAAATCCCACCCCGGCCAGCAGCATGGCAAAGTAAATCCCATGGTATCGATCTTGGGGCTCGGGATCCTCAGAAACTGCCCCAAAAGGGGAAAGAAAGAGACAAAGACGTGACAGTGCACTGCTGCACCCATGGGACCTGCAGCAGACCCCAGCCATGGGGTAACGAATGGTGCTTCCACATCCTTTATGGCAAATGAGGAGGGCAAGCAGCCCAGCGCCCCACAGCTCTCACGAATAAAGGGCCCCAGCCCCGAGAAACTCCTTCCCTAAATAAAAGCATTTCAACGAGAGACCCAGGAGGCAGGAAAACACCCAGGCTTTGGGGGCTGATGAGTTTTAATAGCAGCCAAATAACCTGAGGGCCAGACAGCGTAGTTTAACAGCCAAAGCCAAGGCGCAAGGAGAGGTTGGAGGGGTGTGGACATGGACAGGGATGCCCTGGATGTGGAGCGGGGCTGGGGTAAATCCCAGGGGCATCCCTGAGCCCTGCATGGGAAAGGGTGAAACTGCGGGCTGGGGGTGAGCCGGGCATGAACCCTCAACTCCTTGCCAACCTGCAGAGCCCACTGCCATAGGATGCTATGCAGCTCACATGGTCCAAACCGCTCAAACAGGTCCAAAAAACGGCATTAGGCAATTTTATGGCATTTCAGGCCATTTGTGGCTATTAAACCCATCCCAGGAAGCTCCTAAATGGGTGGGAAACCAGCAGGAAACCCGGCTCCTGGCTGTGGGTCAGGGCCGTGCCTGCCCTCACCCGGCTCCATGAAGGTGAGGATGCCCTTGGCCTGGCTGCCCCTCTGCAGCTCATCCTCCTCCAGCTGGTAGCTGTCGAAGCTGAAGCTCATCACCACGTTGCCCTCCGGTGTCCCCGCAGGGCTCAGCTCCTTGAAGCGCTCGGCTCCCACCGAGCCCATCGTGGCCAACCTGGGAGGGAAAGCGGTGACACCCCCGGGGCACAGCTCCCGTGTCCCCCTGGGGATCATCCCCTGGGTGATGCCAGGGGTCTGCAAGGGATGGACGGCACATGGCTGGCCCTGAGCCTCCATCACCCCACCGTACCGCTGCGGCTCCTATGTTTTTTCCAGATGCTTTCCCCGAGCAGAGTGGGGTCAGGAGTTTGGATTTGGGGTTGTGATTGATTGGTGATCAGGGGGTCTGTGCAAGCCTCCCCCATGGCACAGCACTCGCCCCAGCCTGGCACAACACCTCACCGCGATGCTACCAGTGCCAAATGCCACCATGCTTTCCAAAAACAATTAGAGAAATTAATGGGTGAAAACAACTCACGGGGGGCGGCTGCTGGGGAAGATCCTGGCTGCCTCGGGAAGCCCTGGCTCTCTGCAGGCAGCACACTGGTTTATGTCCTTTTTCAGCATCTCTGCTGCCCGGGGCTGGGGCAGAGCCACCGGCCTGGGCAGACACACTCCTGCAGCCTTTTCAGGGAGAGGATGGGATGCGACCCAGCTTTTAAGGTATGTTTTGAATCTGCTTCTCCGAGGGGCCACAGCACAGCAGGGAGATGCTCAGAGAGCTGTTGGAGAGACCCCAGCAGCACACCCGAGAGGGTCTGCACCACGTGCATTCCAAAATGAGCTCCCAAACCCCCTGGCATCCTCCAGCGACCCTACCAGAGCCACCCAAAACACGGTTCATCCCTCTGGGGCCCCCCCAGCCCGGGCCTTGGGGAGCAGCCCGGGGCAGCCCAGGGGCTGCTCTGTATTACCGGCGCCAGTCGCTAGATGCCAGCCTGCCTCCGCGCCCGCTGCCCGCGGACCACCCAGCTGGCCGGCGGCAGGGGGGGGAAATCTTCTCCAAGGCAGGAGGTTGAGGCAAGCAAGGGAAGAAAAAATCAATTATTACAGTGATTTCTCTCGTGTCCCTGCCAGACGTGGCGTTTGCAGGAGCAGAGAGGTTTTCCAGCATCTCCCCGGCTGCCAGGATGGGTCGGATGCTGGGGGACCCCGGGGGGGGTGGCAAACGTGGTGCCCACAGACCCTCCGAGTGCAATCCTAGAGCCTAAAATGCATCTGCTCGCTGCAGGGACTGGTGGCACAGAGCAGCGCTGCCACGGCCCCGAGGCCGTGCGGGGACCTGGACGGGGCCAGGCTGGGGTCCCCACCCTGCACCACACCAGGGTGGGCCCCAAGACCCCCCATCCCGGAGCACTGTGGGCAGGACAACCCAGCGGGGCATGTTTTGGCTGGGGACACCTCTCCGTCCCATTGCTCACGGAGGAGCTGGCGGTGATCCCCTCCAGGGAGCACCCTCCTGCACCTGATGCTACCCCAGGCGATAAAACCCAGTGGGAAGCATCTCCCGGGATGCCGGGAAAGCCTGTTGCAGGGTTTTCCATAGCAGAGATCCCAGCTGGAGAACACGCCGGCTGGAAACGCCCCGTACCTACTGTGGCCCAAACTTCTTGATGCTGCAGGGCTGGGAGCAGAGCGGGATGCACTGCATGGCCACGGTGCTGGACCAGCCCTCCAGCACCCGTCCGTCTCGTCTGCTCCGAGCATCCCTGTGCCATCCCTGTGTAAATCAGATTTTCCCCTCCCTTTGGATTTACACCCATCTACACAGGAGGGGACTCGGGCCTTGCCACCCCTCTGGCCGCAGGGTGGGAGGGGAGGGGGTCCTCCATCACGGCCAAGGGTGGGAGGTCTCACCCAGGGACAGGGCACCCGCAGGGCCGGGCAGAGCGGGGGACCCCAGCCCCACTGC